TGTCTGTTATCATTATTATACCTTTATCAAGGCACGCTCCACATGAAAACAAATTTACTTTGAGTTCAGGTACATGTAAAACATTTGACAAATAACTGTCAACCCATTTTTTGCCAATTTTTGCTTGAACATATATATTACCTTTACCAATAGCCATAATATATTTACCGTCACCAATACGTACTGGCAACTGAATCTTGAACGACTTATAAGTTCTGAACTACTCTCTTCTACTGGTCATGTGATCACTTGCACACATACCATTTATCAAAATCACTAATTTTGCTTACCATTGAATTAATGCCTATTAGTGCATTACCAGACTTTGATTCGTTTTTATTCTTTCCGTCTTGTTCTTTCTTCAAAATCCAGCAATCACGTTTCCAATGACCTGGTTTCTTACAAAAATTGCAAATTCCTAGTTTTCTATCATTATTTTATTGATTTGAAAATGTTGAATATTTTTGTTTTTGCGTTCTAAACAATTTTTTCGCCGCAAATGCACTATTTTCACCATTATTTCTCTGGATTTCATGGCCATTACTTTGTCTTGTTTCCTCTACCATAAGTCGGGATGTCAAGTTTAACAATGTTTTGTTCTCAGATGATATAGAATCCCATGCACTATAAAAATATTTATAATTTTCTGGCAAGGTCATAAGAATTTTGGTTATAAGCATTGAATCGGATATTGGTTCACCTAACTGTTTTAATTGTTTACTCAAGTTTTCTAATTTTGATATATGTTGTGCCATATTATCATTTTTATCCATAACATAACTATAAAATTTTTGCTAAATCAATGTAATTGATGTATCAAACTTTTGTTCATATACACTCAGTAATTTATTCCACATACCTTTCGCTGTGTCACAGTTCATTATATAATCTAATGACTGCTCATCTACTGACATAACTATAAAACGTTGAGCCTTAGCATCTGTCATTAACCATTTTTGTTGCAGTTGTTCTAAACGCAATTGTGCCTCTGTGTCTGTTTCTGTATCATGTTTTATAATTTGAATTAGATATTCATAACTTCCATCTATTACAGAGAACAACACATCATATGATTTTAATATTACCGTCATTTGAAATTTCCATTTTGCCCAATTTTCACTGCCGTTTAGTTTGTTAATTTTTATAGATTCGTTTTCCATGATAACGAATTTCCTGTACACTGTCTGCACACAATAAAAAATTACAATAATATTTAACACGATCGACGCACTTACTACACGAACGCACTTTAAATTTCACGATTAATTATATTACTAAAAAAAATCTAAATATTGAGTACTGGATAATGGGTCCATAACCTGTTCAATGGAATAGGTTATGTAATTAAAAGATTTAGAAATTATTCGTAATATAATAGTTTTTAATATAAAATGTTAAAGCATATAATACAGGGTGTTAAGTAAGTCTTTATTAGCTTATTAGATATAATCATTTAAACTTTCAAATTTTTGAATTAATATACAGGTATAATACACAAGGGATTACAAATCTAGGTAGCTAATTGGTTTTTTATAACATCGATATTAGCAGGTACACAGCATTGTTATTATCAATTGTAGTAAGGCACATTGTTATGAGTTTATAAATACACTAACTGACAATACAGAAAGTATATCTATTGATAATCATAATTGATAATAAACAATCCGTGACTGAGACAGCAATGTCATAAAAATCCAATTAGCTACCTGTATTTACAATCCCATGTGTATTATACATGTATATTAACTCAAAATTTTGAAACTTTAAATGTTTATATCTAATAAGCTAATAAAGTTATATTAAAAATTCAAATGCCATTTACTATTAAATTAAAAACTCAAACATTTTATTAAATTAAAAATATGTGTTACCATTTAAAAAAACAAAGTTGACCCCCCTCCAAGGCATAAGGGATGAACTTAAAAAGTATTACATAGTTAAAAATTCAAGAATAATGTGTAACTAAAGATAATAAAAAAAAAAAATGTTTAAATTATTATTATTCTGCAAGTAATTGAGTAGGTTATGATAAAAAAATTACCCTGTATATGTTGTTTTTCTTTCTATCTATAGTATATTGTAAGGCTCAATTTCCACAATTTTATATTTTCCTTTCCTTCCGCTAAGGCATGCCCAAAAATACGTATGGTCAATCGTATTTATTAAACAAACAAAAAGGTTACAAAATCGCAAATTGCCGATACTAAAGAAAATATAGCCGGCATTGCACAGTATAATTCAATTTTTTAAATAATTCAATAACCGTATTGAAACATATTTATATACATACATATTATTTTAATCTATAATACCATATATTCACTATTAAAATTGTCAGAGCGGAAATATTTTTAAATCAAACCCTATTCCACTTACCCAGGCACCTGTAAAACTCTAAATTTAGTGGTCCCTATGAGGTGAAGAAGATCTGCTCACATACGCCATTACTCGAAGCCGTTATTTTACACTAAATAATAATATAAAATTATAATCAAACTGTAGTATAATTATTAACACATGTACTAAATGTCACATATATATGAATAAAGCAATAAATCATTTAAGGAATGTTTCCCTTTTTGGGTAATAAAAATAACTACTTATCAACACATGTTTAAAACCAGTCCCCTACAATTCATTAACTACGCCCATGGCAGGGTTTCTATCACAATTAACCAATCACAAATAATTATCCAACATCTTAGGAATTTCAATAGAGATCGCTGGCTTACTTCATCCGGCGTATAAAAAGCCATTTTTCCTCGTAAAAAGGGACTTCTTTTGACGATTCCGAGGACTTCTTTGGTTGATTTTCTGCGGCTGCGACTACGACGACTACCCTCTAAATATTCTCTTACATGGAATCTGCGTCAGTATAAGTAAATATTTTGTCCCTGTGACTTAGTTTTTTTATATGTATCATCCTAAGTGGTGAACATTATCTTAGATGATTTATTAATATTTTACACAGGTTTTTATTTATTTTTATTATCACCTAATGTTCTCACGACAAATAGACATTATCTCTATTTTTATATAAAGATTTTAAATATTATTATGCCCTTCATTTCTGGACAGCCTCAAATGTGCCGAAAAGAGTGAAGAAGCGTAATTTTATTTATACAGGCATAATAGCCTTATACATTATCGTATATTCATAATAAAGCTTATTGTGCCCTACATTTATGAACAGCCTTAAATGTGCCGAACTAAATGAAGAAGCATAATTTGTGATTAGAATTAATTAGTTTTAGTAGTAGTACTTTATGCCTGTGTACCCGCCAGCC